ATTCATTCATTCATTCATTCATTCATTCATTCATTCATTCATTCATTCAATTTCTATGCCCACCCATCTCAAACAAGTGACTTTGGGTGGCAAACAATCATAAAATCAGTTAAAACCAAGTACAAACTCAACACATAAATAAATAAATATATATAGTAGTTGAGAAAAATTATAACCATAGATGCCAATATAAGGAAACAGGGCCCTTAACACACTTGGAGTCCCAGGACCAGGCACAAAACCAGGTCTTCAAGGCCTTACGAAAGGCCAACAGGGTTGGGGCCATCCTTATCTCTGGAGGAAGAATGTTCCAGAGGGCAGGGGCTATGGCAAGAAAGCACGCCTCCTAGTCTCTGCCAGACGACATTCCTGGCTGACGGGGCCCATAGCATGCCCAGCCTGCTGGACTGAATTGGACAGGTAGAAACAAACAGGAGAAGACAGTCCCTCAGGTAACCCAGTCCCAAGACATGAAGAGCTTTACAGGTGACAACTAGCGTCTTGAATTGCACCTGGAAACATACTGGCAACCAATGTAGCTCATGAAGTAGTGGTGTTACAGGTGGATTGTGGTCACATCTCAGCCAAGTCTACGTGGATTAATTTTGGAGGGATCCTTGATATATATGTAGCATATTTTTTTATTATTACTGATAAATCTCAAGCTACAATTTGGGGGTGGGTCATTGGGTCTTGGTTTGGCATGCTGAGTAAATTTCTCTGCTACACTAGAAGCATCTAAATGTTTCCCTCTGGCCTGCTCTGTTTCTCAGATTTTCAAAATTTATGTCTTTGATCATTGCAGAATTGCTCAAATGCTGCAGTGATCCTGTTCCTTCCTATTCAATATCAAATTTGCACAGTAAAGATCTAAAAAGCTAATACAAGGAGAACATGCTTGCTGCTGCTGAACACCATCCCCAGTGTAAAATTTACCTTTTGGGTGGCTTTTCAAAAATGAAAAATTCTGATTCTCCATACTTCCTTTCTGTGTGATGGCTTATAAGGGTTGGGGAAGTGCTGAGTACAGTACAGTGACTGCTGTGTCATCAGTTCTTGTTTACATGAGAATTTATAGGGGAGACACTGGCTGGAAGTAATCTTGTATCCCGTGGAATATGTCATCAGCCCTAAGAGTGCTGACAGCTAAGAATAGCATTCTTATCATGTGTTTATTTGTATGCTGATTATCTACCTACCTACCTACCTATCTGCTATACAGCTCATGGATCTACAGTACAAAGGACCAAGAGAAATTTTAAAAAAAAGACATCTAAAGCTTGATCACAGATCATTACCAGCTGTAACAAGAGCTGGAGCCCCATCTTCCTGAGCCAGGTAGAATGAGCATGGATCAAGCTCTTCCAAGACTCAGCCAGATTTCCAGAGAAGAGTAGTAATGGTAACACGGCTGGACAGGATATACAGTGACTGTCATCCTAATTTTAAGTAAAGCTCTCTTATCCATTATATTATGCTACAACAAACACCATGTAAAATGAATGTCACCAGAGGCCCAGAGACCAAAAGTACCATACTTCCAGATCTCACGGTGAAACTTGCCCTCCAAACAAACAGCTGACTCATTTATGTACAATTTTGAAAGAAGTGAGACTCATGAATAATGAGTGGGCAGGGAAACATTTTTGCTACTATTTAATTACGCAGACAGTATTCATTCCCATCACTGCCCAGCAAAGCTGAAAGTCAAGCAAGTAAGCAATTGGCCTTGCTGCTCGGATTTCACCTACCGTCCTTCTTATACATATGATAATGATATCCTGGTCATTTATTAGGTGGGTGGTAGTTCCAACAATGTTCTCTTAAGACATAGTTGCTTGTTTGGGGTTTTCACAACACTAACCTGTTTAAATCCAAAAGGCATCAATCAGCTTTGTTGAAGGGCCTGTTCCTGTCCCTCATACAGGCCACTTCTTTGTAAGATTACCATCTCTTTTTAAAGCAAAGCTATTATGCTTTTCAAAGTTGTGTGACAAGCAGAAGGTTTTCCTTTCCACATAAAATCTGCCACCTCCCACATGATCTACTATAATTTAACCTGCAACCAAGCAACTAGACACAAGCAATTGAAATGAATGCACATTCTTTCCCTGTTTATAACTCCATGCGTTGCTCCTGAACCCGAATTTTAGACCATAAGCACTAATGGCACCATATAAATAATAATAAAAATAAATGGAGATACAATATTGAGGAAAATTTCACTTACTAATCTATTTATTCATTATGCAAGTTTCAAGTTAAAAGAATCCAGGCCAAGAAAAAAACAGCATTACAAGCTATGGAATGCATATTTAGCTTGGATTAATATTTCCAATTGTTCAAATGGTGCAAACTAAACAAAATTAAAGAGTCAAGGCTTTTAAATATGCAACACAATGAGAAAATGATTTAGTTATGCAGCAGATATAATTAAACTGGCTGCATATCCATATGTTTATTCATTTTATTATCTCCTTGTATATGGCTATATAAGTCAGGTTTAAAACTGAAGCAATGACCAGTGATACATTTCATTAAGCTGCTTCGATTTTTGCAAGATATCCCCAATGTATGCCTTAAGCAGGGGTCCCCAAACTCTTCAGATCATCCACCCCCTTCATGAAGTTTCACATTGTTCATTGACCCTCAAACATTTATTATATGAAAATAATTTAATAAATACTATTTTAACTAATAGTACTATGAATAACAACAACAACAACAACAGAGACAACTCAAGGCCACTGTCACTGGCAGCTGACCCTCCAGCCCTGGGTAACACTGTCTTGCCACTAGCCACCTCGCCTTCAGGATTAGAGACTGGCATGGAGCTCCATGGACACCCCAAAAGATTAATTGATCCCCATCAACCTTCCATCATTTATCAACCATCTATTGACTTCCAGACATTTACTGACCCTCAAGACCCCCAGCCATTTGCCGACCCCTTGGACTGTCCCACTGACCCTTGAGGGTCAATATTGATCACTTTGGGAACCCTGCTTTAAAGGAACAGCTTTTTATAATCTATAACATTTATAAAAATAATTCTATGCCTATTACAGGGACATAAGCCCCACTGAATTAAGTTTCATTTTGAAGTAAAAATACACAGTGAAAAGGTGCAGTCATTGTCTTATGTAATATCAATCAGACAGGAATGTGCTGATGGATACCCTAAACTCATATATAAACTTCTTAGAAGCCTATGGATACAGTAAATTCATCATAGTCCATACAGTTCTTTTAAGTATGGTTACATTTCAAACTGAGCCTCATTAATTTCTGGATGATTCACAACCAAGTTAAAAAACAGTATGTGAATATGCTTATTAAAGGGCCTTGGACAAAGATATTAATGTAATGAGCAAATAATAAATGATCTCAAAATCTGGGGGGACCTGGAGATGGGACTACTCTGCTCTGTGCTGTTTCTAGCTTTAAAGGGTCTCACCACCAGCTTGTTGGATGGGAACCACACAAAGGTCTGGAAATGACACTAGACAAACCACAGCAACAATCTCTTTCCCCATGATAGTGTCTACTATTATGTCTTTTAGATACCTATTGAAGATTTCACCCAGGTCTGCCCAGGGTAAATATTATGGATGAAATTCCCTCCTTTTTTAATGAATTTTTTTACATGAACTGTTTTTAACCTATTGCAATTGCACTGTTATGTTTTAATAATTTTAACTGTGCTATTTGTACATTACTTTGAGAGGATTACATAGAAACCATGTAGTATTGTGGTTAAAGTGCTGAAATTGGACTAGGGAGACTGAGGATTAGGTCCTCAGTTGACCACAGAGGTCACTGGTGACTCTGAGCCAGTCATTCTCTATCATCCTGACCTACCTCATCAATTGATTCTTGAGGGAGTAAAATGAGGGGATGCTCCCTGGTGCACTACCTTGAGCTCCTAGAGAAAAAAGATAAAAACCTAAATAAATAAATAAATATCAATATTATTTGGTCATTGATTGCATTGTAGCCAAATATGTTGTTGCTATACCTTTCCTAACTATAAAAGGAACACCATTCCTTCTTTGTTTTTATGTTCTGAGTAAGTGTGTGTGGGTGTGGGTGTGGACAGACAGACACATAGCTAGCAATAGCTTAATTACTTCTGCAGGCTTAAGAACCAAGCAGGAGAAATTAACAGTAATGCAGATGCACATTAGTTTAGCATAATGTTTCTCAACCTTGGCAACTTTAGGCTGTGTGGACTTCAACTCCCAGAATTCCCCAGCCAGTATGCACATCTTGAGAAACACTGGTTTAGCATGACATCTGAAAGCAGCCACTGTGAGAAGTCTCTTGTGAACTGAAGAAAGTTGCTATCTGGGCATGCTAACTTCTATGATTATCAAATGCTTAGTCAACATTCTTAAGTTCAGTTTCTAAAAGACTAATTAATAAAATTCAAGTTTTAGAACAATTAATTTAATTATTGGCATTTGTCTGAATGTTCATATTTCTTGGACATGACTAGAAACATTTACCACTCTTGAATTTAAGCAAATCCTTTAAAAAGTTCATTAAAAATATGGCAACCAGAGTGAGAACTCTAGTCTTCTCATTGAACCTTTTCTAAAGTGACATACATTAGCATTTTGTGCAATGAGCTCCTACAAAAACTAATATAAATTTCTCCTGCATTGACAAGCCAGGAAGAATGGCATCTGCTGCATTTAGACTACTATAGACAGAAAGCTTCCGCAAGGAAAAGAATCTGTCTACCCTGTCCACCTCTGTCCAAAGGATGGGGAAAAAAATATGCTTGCTGAAATCCTCTGAGACCAATACAGTGGTACCTTGGGTCACGAACCTGCTGT